GATGAAAAATAGGCAGAAAAAGAAAAGAACTCGAAATTACCATCTGCTGACGAAACTTGAATCTGGAAAATGTCGTCGCGTGACAGCGGCCAATGACGTCTTTGTCTAAACTGCGGCGGAATCTAAACGAATGCACAACTTTTTCCCGGCCAGAAAGCACTTAGTGAAACAATGTTACAGTACTGTTATTTTTTCACAAGCGATGGTGACTTAAAAAGAAAAAATTCCCGAACCGCCGCACCGTTTTGGCCTCAGTGTGATCTGATCGTTGTGGGGTCACGAGTCGACGCTTCTGGCCAGCGGTCTATTGAAAGAAATCTGATCCCATCTCTTTTTTTTTTCGGGCGAGAATCATTCATGTCAATGTCCAATGTCTTCCTTCAAGGAAAAAAAGAGAGAGATATTGGAGTACTGTTGCTCCCGAGAACGAGTAACATCTTGGTCCCGAAACCTGAGTTCATTACGCCCAAGAATTACGGTTTTTTTTTTCTCAAAGGACTAGTATCTGGCGCTATAAAATGTAGCTAACAGATTCAATTTTTGGCACAATGATTAGCCTCGCGTTTAGTATTTTCTTGGACATGAAAATATCGGGGGTGACGCTATTCGGTGGAATGGCGGACTGACGGAATGACGGAACGGAAAGATGGAATACATGGAATATTCTAAAATACGGAATATACGGAATACTCTAAAACGCAGAATAAGAGAAAAATCGTTTAAAAAGGGTATACATGTATACAGTCGACTCCAATAACTCGAACCCTCGCTACTGACTCGAACCTCATGCTAACTCGAAGTAATACTAATTTTTGTTTCTCTTCAGATCATTTCTATATAATTTTACCCTGATTAACTCGAACCATGTTTTAAGCGCGTGACAAGTAAAAGAATTGACTTACCGTAATGATTCGATTTAGCGCCCTGGAGCTTATTTGCTTAATTGGTGCCTCTAGGGAGGACGCTTATTCGGGACAGGGCGCTTATTTCTTTTTTGAGAAACAACCAAATGTTAAAAAAAGAACTTTGATATTTATTTAAAAACGAACAACATTTGAAAAAAATAACAAATAACAAATACTGACGGTGAATGCTCAGTTAACGCGAGGGACTTACCTTGAAACTTCTTGGGCACTTTGTCGATGGAACTTTCCTTCCTTATATTCACCTGTCTTAAAAAACCTTACAGTCAAAACAAAGTGCAAGTCGATTAAGGTAATGGATCAAGGAGACTGGAAAACGGACTTGTTGTCCCTGGATCCTTCCTCGCCAGAACGACCAGCCGAGCAATCTCCACAAAATTTGAAGAAGAGATCATTCCTTTGAAGACTTTGAAGACTCTGGAAAATCTAAAGCAAGCTACCGGACAAATTTAGGCACAGGTGTGGCCCCCATTAATTGGTAGTACAATCCTGTCAAGCTTAAGTTTACAATTCTCTTTTTTAGAACAGCCGTTTTATGAAAGTTATCCGACATTAGATTCCCGTGATTCCGGACCCTTCACCCGTCAAGATGGCTTTCAAAACTGTCATAAGGTCTATAGTGTGGCTTACGGCAGTACGAAAATTGAATTTTTAATATTGCCTCTGCTTTTTCGTCAGTCCAGCTCAAATCAAATACAGAATATTCTGTAAATTCCGTGTTTTAGCGTATTACGTATATTCCGTATTTTACAACTGATTGCATGTATTCTGCCATTCCGCCGAATAGGGTCACCCAAATATTGGGGAGGACATCATAAAAAAATGTAGGAGACCGGTAAGACTTTTAAATCGATGAAAGTGCCTTACTCATTTTGCAACTTCATTTTACAATATGCTTCATAATTTGTTTCCACAATAACATCTATGATATTTAGATGATAACCAATATGCACAACGCACAACTTGTCACATTACCGATTGGACAGCATACTATGCACTCAAACTCTTGCGCAGGAAAGTTACAGAATAAAATTATTTTTTGCTGCACTCAGTCACATTCCTTTACACTGAAACCTTGGCTAAAAGGTCTCTTTTTAGATCTGTAGATTTGTAAGGTATTTCGAAGTACCCGCACATGTCTTTCAACACTAACATTGAAAGATGAAAGTTTGTTGCTGTGATAATTATGACAAAGATTGTAAACATCAAGTATAATTGGATGTTTTAAGCCCAAATATTCTATCACCTCTTCAACAGCATGGAGAGGGAAATGAGGGCTTGCCGGTATTGAGCTTTTTTTCAAGCGGTATTTCGGTAATTTGGATTTTAAAGTGGGGTATTGCGGTATCATTTAGCCCTGCGGTATGCGGTATTTCTTCCTTTTGGTTAACGGTATCCGATAAAAGAAGATCCCGGTATTGCGGTACTGTTCATTGCACTATCCTGTTTAATGCTAGCCTGCGTAGCAAGCGCTTGGATGACCCCTCGCGAGTCTCCCTCGCGCAAGCCCGTTCTCTCTCGCGCCCACTACTTCCAAGCGCCTGCTACGCAGGCTAGTTTAATGCACGTCAGTATTTTTAAGACTTTAGATTAATGGTAAATGATTACCATTACACAATTTCTGACAGATAATCTATGATGAAATTGGTAGGGTATCTTTTTCGTTCGTTGTACCGATCAATTCGAGGTCGTCTCACGTTTCCTCGCAAAATTAAATTAAATTAATTACATACCGCAATACCGTGAGAGAAATTGGTAAATAACGAAATACCGTGTCAAAAATCGACGAAATACCGATACCGCATTTATTTTCGGTTTTTGGTACCTACCAATGTCCCTCCTAGAATGGCGTTGCTCTCCAACTTCGTGACCTTTCTTCAGGCCCGCTGACCCCTACACGCGCTGACCCGTAACGTCCGTTGGAATGTATGTAACGAAATACAAGCAGCCCACATTCAAAGTACTTGGAGACTAGCTGAGGCTGAATTCATCATCATTAATAGGAAAACATAAAACTGTTTCACTTCACGATTTCTGGTGATAGAAAGATTGTTTTTTTTTTTTTTAAACTTATATTTCACGTATTTGTTTGGATCCCGCTGCAGTTCGGACAAATGAACGCTGTCACGCGACAACATTTCCAAGATTCAACCCTCCTTAGCATATGGTAATTTCGGGTTATTCTCTTTTTCTGCGAATCTTTCATTTTCCTTTCTCTTTTAACTCTATATACTTCTACTTAGGATGGTTTTGAGCGCCTAGCAAGGCTTAAAGTGGCGTTTACCACGCTATCCTTGGCCATATTGGCAACAGAGAAGTGTTTCGCCGAAGTGGCAACTTAACGGTAAATAAGGTAACTTTGAACGGTTTTTACAACGTCAGTATACTTTTGCCGAAAAATGTTTTTCCAAAATCGTAATGTATATCCCTCCAATGTCTGATTCATCACTGTGATTGCTTTCAGCAGCGTTGGACTTTTGAGAAATTATTATTTTAAAATCAACTCCAACGCTCCATCTAATTTAATATGCAATATTTGAAAATTTATTTTTTATTCCCTTCGGCAGTTTTTCGATGTTTATCGAATGATATTGCATTAAAAGGCCTTTTTCTTCATCACTGTGTGGTTTTCTCGTTGTTTTTCGTTGCGATAGTGATTTCTGAACCGTTTTTTGCGAGGGCTTATTTTAGGCCTGATTTTGCTGCTATCAGACGGAAAAAGTTTGCGGCTCGATATTTTTGGTTTAAAGCGAAACTGAAACAAAAGAAATTCATTTTTGAATAGTATTCGGTAACCTCTACTTGGGAGATAAAAATCGGCCGATTTTATTTTTTAGCCGGAAATCATCGGTCGTTTCTTAGGCGCAGGGCCTCTTAATTGAATGCTTCATATACAAACATGCTCAGTGAAAATTATTTAACATGCCTTTATTTCTTGAAAATGTTTTGGAAAGGCAGGGGGAGAAGAGTCATTGGTTGTTTTGAGAGTTGTGGAGTTGAACGTTTTTTGGAGGTATGGGAGACAATTTTGGAATACACTTGAAAAAAAATTTTTCATTACCGGACAAAAGTAAACAACATAACAAGCGGATGGTAATCTACAACAAAATGTGGTGATTATTACTGCTGCATCATTTATAGGGTTTATCTTCCTTGAGAAAATTGCTAGTCATATAATGCTTCATTAATTTTAGTGCTCAGCTCCAAATAAAAGCACTGTGCAGGGGCGGATCCAGGATTTTTCTTAGGAGGGGGTGCACCACTAACTGACTGATGACGTAAAAAATTTTAAAAGCGAATACGAAGAGGGCTTTTGACTAGGAAATAACATAATGTGAACTGCTGAGAATACATATCAAACGATAGAGCAGATTTTGTATGACTGTGAAGCGACTGCATAGTGTTAATTAGAAAGTGGCCGCAGGTCATCCCAGGAGGGGGGGGTGCGCACCCCCTGCACCCTCCCCCTAGATCTGCCCCTGCTGTGCCCCTTCAAATCTGCTGCACCCTAACTCTAAAAGCTGTAAACTAAAATAACCACCCCTTCTAATGTCCCACACCCACAAATAAGAATAAAACATGATAGGCATTTGGCCAGCCTTTTGGAAAAGGTTCTCGGCAATAAACTGTATTGGATTAAATTGAGTGGATTTGCAAGAGGGATTGTATGAAAACAGGGTGTTGAACTTGTTGACAGACACTGGCACTGCTCTATAGCACAGTGCTATTTTAAGAGGTGTGTAGACCGAAATGAAATATGATGTAGTGCTTTGGATTGGTTGAAGTAAATTTCTGACACAGCAGACCAATTTGAAGCACCACACAGATCCAGGTAGCATCTCTTCATGACATTTCGAGGGAAAACCAGTGTTGGCATTGCAAAATGTCGCCTGTTTTCTCAAACCTGTGAACATCAGAAATACTTCTGGAAATATAGCTGATTCAATAAAGGTTGCTTTGGGCATTGCAGGAATTGGCAATTGGGTATTGTACATATAGAACAATGCAATGATTTGCCTGAGTGATCTCCAAACAATATCTTCCTAGTGTCCAATGCCCAAAGCAACCTTTATTGTATCTGCAGCTATATGTAATTGTGTTGCAAGAAAAAAGCCAATCAGGTGTGAGGAAAATGAACTGCTGGCAATGGCATGAATTATTGGTGGTTATGTGGCTGGATTTTTCTTCATGACACAATAAACATTCCTGAAAAATTTTGATCGTTCACAGTTTTCTCAGTTTGACTGTACAGTAAGTGACTAACACTGTCAACATGTTGTTATTTGACAATGTTATTCACTTGTTTTGTTTGTGATAAAAACATACATATTTTTTTTGGTTCTGTGAGAAAACAGAATGGAAGTGGAATTAAGGGATAAATAATACAGAAGTAAAGTCAGTGTAGTAATAGTATTTTTATTTAAGTTAAACAACAACAAAACATGGTTCACTCTGTTACTAGGAAGATGTACGCATGAGTGAAAAAATATACACCAGCACCAAAGACCTGGGGTCTGCTCATTAAAATTATGGGGCATTTTTGGGTGAAAACGTTGAAAATTTTAAATATTGCGTAAAAAAATAGTAAGAATGAAGCCCATCATTGCCTGCAATGACTTTCAATAATAGCTTAGAGCAAAAAGGTCACTTTCTATACTTTAACATTCAGCATAATAGTAGGTCTTAGAGGTCTTAGAGGACACATACAGGTAAGAGAAATTCATTGTTTATTCCTGTTCATTGTTTGTGTCCTCTAAGACTCGCTTTCTTGCTTAACTTAGATTATATCAAAACTGGCCTACTATGAATATTCCATCCCAATAAATAGTTTATTGTGTCCCTAGGGAAGGAAAGGCACACGAAAATAGGAATTATGTTCAACTGAGTTAGCACAGAGACTAAATAATATATATTTCTATACTTTCACCCATTGATTATAGTCTTAGAGGCCTTTCGTAAAAGCAATGGAACTTCCAGTACTATAGAATATATACAGTGGTGCACTGGTCATTACACTATTATCATCGATCAAAATTGTTAACCAACCAGATGATTGTTTATGGAAAATGTTCAATCAATTGCTGTGGCAAAAAAATTCTTCATGGCAAATTAAGATCTTTTAAAAAAATATTAAAAACTTGTGTGTTGATTTATAAGGTCTTATAATCAAACAAGAAAGAATTTCATCACCCGAAGGCACAGAAATTCTGAGCTCAGTGGTATTAGTAAAAAAAAAAACTAACAACGTTTGTACTACATGTACTTTGACTTGTGCAAAACAATGGAATATTTTTATATACACTAGAGATTTCTGTTTATAATCATGATCAATTGGCTGGGCTAATTTGATTATTACCAATGATAAAATATATGATCACTAACGCTAGATTATTATCTACTTGCACATAATGCATAACAATTAATCAATTTATTTTTTATTCCATGACCCTGTTTCTTTCTGTTTACTGACTGCTTTCTTTGTTTTAGCATAGCGCTCTTCAGATCCTTCAATCGAGCCCAGTTTTCCTGCATGGTAGTCGCTGAAGCATTGCTCTATTTCTTCCCAAGTGTTCATGACAAATGGTCCATGACGTGCAAGGGGTTCCTTAATTGGCACACCTGCTATGAGCAGAACATGAAGGTCTTCATCGGGACTTGCAGTAATTTGAAACGTGTTTCCCTTTCCCAACAAGGCAACCTGCAGGTAGCAGGATATTAGCAGAAGATTAAATTAATGACAACATAGAAATATAATATTTCATTTAACTATGTAATTATGTATTTCAACCATTGCATTGACAGTTCAATTAACTCTCTCCGAGATGGACACCTATGGGACTGGCAGGCACTGTGTGTCTGTCTTCCGTCATTTTACAGAGATGTCTGTTTTGTGGAGAGTTAACAAAAGGAGTAAAGAATTAGGCAGGGACCAACTCTAGGTGTCTCGTTTTAGTGAGGTGTGCATTAAGATAGAGTTAGTTGCAAACTAATAAACTGTACAGTACTTTACATTAATACACCCTGATTGTGTTAGATATTCATCACCAATAAATTGCATTTAAAAAAGACAAGCAATAACAGGGTGCATGATGCTCGATATCCCAGCTGATGTCAAACTATTGCGTCATTATATGTCTTCTATTGTGTGAAGTTTTTTTATTGACAGGGAATCATTACTGCATTCTTTGTGATGGGACTTGAGACTTGCTATTCACTTGGTATAATAGTGCAATGGCAGGTGAGGTCATTGTCCTGTTCATTAACAGTCCAGTCCAAGATTCCAACAAATTATAATACAGGAGTTTCTTTTATTTATCATTAGTCTTATTCTCCATGTATGTTAAACAGTTACCTGTAACAATAACACAAGTGGAGGACATACAAGTTATTCCTTGGGGGGTGGGGGGGAGGTGAAAGAGACAGGATCCTCTTTGGAAAATTTAGAACTATACTTTGACACAGTATGACAGCATTTGTTTTTTTTATATATAAGACCTTTCTTTACTCATGCATGTTATGGGTAAAAATATTGGCTTTCAGTGTCCTGAACACTGTAAGTGAGACCATTTTCATCAACTTCTACCTCCGAGTAAGACAACAAGCATCCCTGTCGGTCTTTCATATGGGAGCCCCCCTCTGAAACTACTTGACAAAAAACCTCTGTAGATTTTTCAGTTTTTTTAAATTTTACCTTTCCCATCTGAACTGAGATTCTGTCCTCAGTGAATGAACCACTTCCCCTCCAAACATAAGCAAAGCCATTATATTCCTCAGGAACATCCTGAACAAATGTTCCACCTGCCTGCACGTGGATATCTAGGTACATTATTGGTGTTCGTGTGTCTATAACAGCTTTTGCACCCAAACTCTCTCCAGCTATTACCTTGACTTTGGTCTTTCCATCTACAGGTAAAAAGAGGATGATACAACATATTATGCATGTCAGACAACCACTCTACAAGGTCCAAATAAGACATTAATATGGGAAATTATTTACAAACATTTTTTCACGCAAGCTGGTCATTGGTTGACTCAAGTGTGGCGGCTTGATTCACACACACTTTTTTATCACTCTATGTCCCATAAATGACCAACATCAATTTTCCCTAACAATAACAAGGAAATGTTAAGAGAAATGTTTATGCAGGGGTGGATCCAGGGGGAGGGTGCAGGGGGTGCCCCCCCCCCTCCTGAGATGACCTGTGGTTTTCTAATACAACTGGTATTCTGCAAAAAAAAAACTATGTGGTTTATTGGTGTTGAAGTAGAGCAAGAGAAGAGTGCACCCCCTCCTAAAAAAAATTCTGGATCTGTCCCTGTTATGAGAATTAATCACATCATCACTGAAAGAAAAATGCTTTGATCTGTTATTAAATTCTCTCAACTAATTCTTTAAGGAAATGTATAAAGATCAGTCTGGAGAATTAACCATTTAAGTACCAATAGTGACCAAGATCAATTTTCTCCTAACAATACCCATATGTTACCAAGAGAAATGGTTATGAGAGTTAATAAAATGATCACCTAAGAGAAAATGCTTTGATCTTCTACCAAATTCTCTCAACTTATTCCTTAAGGAAATGTATAAAGACCAGTTTGGAGAATTTGTATGTGGATATTGGGGCTTAAAGGGTTACAGTCAAACCAGGTCAAGCGTACCCCCCAAGAATCCATTAATGAATTTATTATTCAAAAGTTGAATCCGTTGCTAGTTGTAGGGCATTCTTAAAGGCGTTTTTTCAGGTCCGAGGCAGTTATGGGTTGTCAATATTTTCTAAAATTGATTTGTCAGAAACAAGACAGCAGAAAATGAATTTCAACAGTACAAGATTCATTTTTCCTTCACTGGTAACTACAGGAATTTTGTTAAAGCATTTTCAGGTCAGGGTGTCCTTTGTCAGATACAAGACAGTGGTTTAATCATCTTGTCAGGAATTTTTTTTGTCCTGGTATCGTGGTTTAATAAGTTCACCCAAAGCTGGAATCCCTCTGATCTTCCACCTTTGTTTAAAACATCATCTGAAGGCATTTCACTGTGCACAACACCAGAACCTGCGGTCATCCACTGTACCCAACCTGGTTTCAAAACACCACTGTTCCCAGCACTGTCTTGATGTTTCATCTCTCCTGAGAAAGACAAAACAAAGTGCTGCTAGTGCTATGATAAAAAATGGAAATATTTTAAGGAATAAAAATAGATAATCACAGAAGTCAGTACAAGATTTATACCAGTCAAACTTGTACTACGTGCAAACGTAGTGGGAATCATTGTACTTTATATATCCCGTGTACACTGTTACTTAGGGGTCAATATTGTAAGGGGTCAGAAATGTTCTCTCCAAAAATTTAGTTAAATAGCAGGTGGGCTCAATGTTTTTTTTTGTTTGCATTTTGAAACAGATCTGTAGGCATCACAATCTTAACTATTTCACAAATCTTTCTTTAATATTGGAATCTCGAAGCCTTCTTAGGCGAGAAAAACTCAGGGCTTGATCGATCAGGGATCTTTTTATAATTTTTTTATGAATGGTGGCTTTTCTGCAATGTCATTACTTGAGTCCCCCGCTGATTAGTTAAGTACCTTGTCAAATAAGCTTACGTTAAGTAACACGGCCGAGAAAAGAAACCATTTTTCTTTCTTACCGTCAATCAGATAGGTGACAGTTTCAAATCCTCGATGAGGGTGATCAGGAGCTCCAACAGCCTCTCCAGGGCCGTAAATAACAGGACCCATATGATCTAACAGCAAGAATGGATCGCACTGGTTGATTTTATCTCCGATGGGTCTTCGGATCAGAAATCCGCCTCCTTCTCTCATCTGTCGGGATGTTTCGATCCGATCAACACCACGAGCTACTACCATTTTATATCTCCTGAATACCAAAATTGCGAAAAGGAGAACCAAAAACGAGAGAACAACCAAACGCTTAATTTTCACGGCCTCAAACCTTCTTACTACAGTACGTGCATGTATCAAAAACCGGTCTTGTTTATTTATGCACGGTCCTCGACCCAGCATGCAATGCGCACTGGTGATGACACAGCGAATTTTCTGCGCTGTCACCATTTGCAGCAGAATGCAGTCTTACGCTGACTTGTCCTCCAACGCGTACGTGTTTCCGGCTGTCGGTTACTTCCGTACTCGCAACTCGAAAGTTATTTGCAGAGGTTTTCCTTATCCTACTCGAGAAAATTCAGTGCAGTGAAGGGCTTTTTCTACTTTTTCGCCTGTCATGATTGTATCAGCTATATTTTTTAAAAACGTCCAATTTGTTGTCCTTACTTAGTCCGCGAGTAAAATTTATAATCTTGAGTGTCTTACTTTTCAAATCAAATGTTCACGAGCTGGAAATTTAAGCTCAGCTTTTTAAACATACGCGTATGTTGCAAATGAAGCGGTCCAGCTATGTGATGGTACACGTTTTGGTTTCAGTTTAATAGTTTAATAGTTTCACAAAGTTTGTAAAGTAAAGCAATGCAGCAAAACCTTATTTTAACATCGTGCCGGGCCCAGGCAGGGCTGGTCGAGGGCTGGTCTCCATAGGGGCCCTACATCTCAAAAATTACTTCCAAAATTACACTTTAAAAGCCTAAAATACAATAACAGCGTTCAAAACTGCATCTTAGAAAGCTACTTCGAAAAATACACTTTGAAAGCCTAAAATACAATAACAGCGTTCAAAACTGCATCTTAAAAAGCTACTTCGAAAATTACACTTTAGAAGCCTAAAATACAATAACAGCGTTCAAAACTGCATCTTAGAAAGCTACTTCGAAAATTACACTTTAGAAGCCTAAAATACAATAACAGCGTTCAAAACTGCATCTTAGAAAGCTACTTCGAAAATTACACTTTAAAAGCCTAAAATACAATAACAGCGTTCAAAACTGCATCTTAGAAACCTACTTCGAAAAATACACTTTGAAAGCCTAAAATACAATAACAACATTCAAAACTACGTTTAAAACCCTAAACAAAACCACAAAACAATAGGAGAAGTGATAAATGTCTTCGATCGCTCAGCACAAAAAACATATCATAAAGGCGCTTCATTTTAATTGTGAATTGTAAATTTTGCGTAAACCAAACACAAAGTCCAGCCGTTTAACATTGTTGTCAGACATCCTTTGCGTATTTATCAATCATTTCAATTCTGCGATCAACGGAGCCACATCCAGTTCAAATGTCGTACAGCTGAAATTAAGACTCTGTTCATTCCCTGGAACAAACAGCAGTGAATACTACATCAGAATATTAACTTTCAACCTCATTATTTCCTGTTTTTGAAATATTCATAGAAAGTGTTCATATTAACGGGCACGGGGTGTCCGTATTAAGCGGGTCATGTTATTTAAGTAAAAAACATGAAAAAAACACCTTTTATTGGAACAAAATACTAACATGAGATAGTAATAAAACAGGACATTAGCATAGACAAATTCAACATCTCTAACCTTCCAAAAGCCGTCATTTCGAGGGCTAAAACCACTGAAGCATTCAAAAATCACTCATCTTTATAATCAAAACCGTTCTCTGCATAAATAAATTATTTGATGGCGGGGTGTTACGTAACACTATTGATGGGTCAGCAGACGCCTTTCCGGTCGTCGCGTCTCTCCCTCCGAAAATTTTTCGCAGATTAGTCATCGATTCAGGAATTTCATAATTTGTCATAATTTATGCGCTGTACTCTTCTTGGCATTGTACTCGATTTGGCACTTTACCAGGCTGTAATTTGCATTCCATTATGTCAGTGTCTTACTGATACGAAGACTGTGACTGCTTGTACTAACTGCACTATAGCTCTCTCTATATATCAATTTCCGTCGCTTTTCGCAGTTTTTGGTAGTTATATAAGTCATGCTCCATCAAAATGAAAACAGCTGAGTTAAAGTTTAAAAGGTGTGTTGATCTCAGTTCCTTGTACTGAGTGTTATAGGTTAAGAAGTGTGAAGTATTTTGCATTTGCCAAAAAAAAAGCTTTACAAGCATTTTACTAGCTTTGAATCCCACGTTCTCAAGAAAACGTCTATGACAGTAGTAAAAAGAGTGTTTAATAATTGATATCCTCGTTCATCCGCTTATGGTATATAAAATCGCGGATCGGCCGGCTTACCGGGAGGCATTAATAAGTACATGTAAGTAGGGAAGAGTATATTCTAACTCTTTCAGAAGAGGTTTTGTGTGGCGGAACTGACTGAGAACAGTTACTACTTTCAACCCTAAACTTTGCTTAGTTTTTGAAGCAGAAAAACCTTTAGAGCACTGCTGCCCCCGGGGGTGGCTCAAGCAATTACAGACAGACTTGCTAAATAGACTCTTCGTCACAGACAAATGACTTTGTATAGTTTTTTCTTTTTATAGTTTTTTTCCGAAAACAAATGAACGAGGATATCAATAAAACACTCTTTTTACTGATGTCAGAGACGTTTTCTTGAGAACGTGGAGGCTGACAAAGGGAAACTCAACATTGTCAGGGAAGCTGGAACCTTTAGAGCACTGCTGCCCCGAGGGTGGCTCAAGCAGTTACAGACAGACTTTTTTGTCGTCACAGACAAATGACTTTGTATAGTTTTTTCTTTTTATAGTTTTTCCGAAAACAAATGAACGAGGATATCAATTAAACACTCTTTTTACTAATGTCAGAGACGTTTTCTTGAGAAAGTGGAGGCTGACAAAGGGAAACTCAACATTGTCAGGGAAGCTGGGCATTTTAAGAGAACTGCTATTATGCAGGGTGAAATAGTTTCTTATCTAATAAAGTCAACGACATACAACAAATTGTTAACTTTGTAGAAGGAAATCAAATGGCCTGAACGGTAACTCACTGGGTAGTTGATTCGAAAAGAAAATACGGGACACATTATTGATCATAAGAAAATCTCAAGAACGGTTTGACTCTTAGACATTCTCATAAAAAAAGTTAGTGCAGCCTATAAACTTTTGGCAGCTCTTAGCAAAATTTTCTACTGACCTATATAATATTCCGCGAATGTTATCCGGACCGTAGTCATCGTCTTCTTTCGGTTCCCGCCGATGTGGAAGGCCTTCCTGAGCTGGATTGCGTGTGGCTTTTTTGCACGAGACGGCGCTCTCCAAGTTTATTACACATTTGAGAATCATGGCCAACACCATACAACCCAAAACTCCAAACAGGACGAAAACCGCCGCCAAGATAGTTAGTACTTGGTCTGATAACATGTCTCCCTATGATAGTGGCTAATAAGGAATGTAGTGCCCCTATCGTGCGTGGGATTTTGGTAGATTTTATCAGGTAATAAGTTAACTGAGCCGCGTTTCCGGAAGTACCGGTCATTGGATTGGATTAGAAAACTTTGAATTTATTACTGTACATTAACGACATCAACAATGCTTCTAATCTATTAAATCTGATATTGTTCGCTGACGATACCAATGTATTCATGTCACATAAAGATCTGAACTATCTCTCAGATATGTTAAACTTGGAGATGGACAAACTGTCAATCTGGTTTAAAGCAAACAAGCTTTCTCTAAATCTTAAAAAGACTAAATTTATGGTCTTCAAACCAAGACAAAAGCGTTCAATTTGTAATATTCAAATAAGTATAGATAATCAAAATATTGTTAAAGTAAAGGAGACAAATTTTCTAGGCGTAATTTTGGATGAAAACCTAAATTGGAAGTCGGAAATATCTCACGTTGCAAGTAAAGTTGCGAAGTCAATCGGTATAATATCTAGATGCAGCTTCTTTCTTCCTAAATCGTCTTTACGTATGCTCTACTATTCCTTAATTTATCCTTATTTTTACTACTGCAATATCGTTTGGGCTTCGACCTATAAAACTAATCTCCGCCGCCTTGTTATCCTGCAAAAGCGCATTATTAGAATTATTAATAAATCACATTTTAATGCTCATACTGACCCCATCTTTAAGGACCTCGGTATACTAAAATTTAATGATATCCATTTGCTTCAACTGGGCCAATTTATGTATTCTTGCAAAAATTCATTCTTACCTCCAAAGTTTAATAACAATTTCTCTCAAAGCAATCAATTCCACTCTTACAATACAAGAAATTCCCAGGCCTACCGTCTACCGTATTGTCGTACAAACACGAAGAAGTTTCTCGCCCTTTTTCAAGGGCCTAAGTTTTTAATTCACTTGACAACAAGATCATCAACTCTCAATCCCTCTCCTCTTTTAAGAAAAAAACTGAAGATTAAATTATTGAGTAAGTATGAAAACAGTTTATAAATCTTTCCATCTTCGACTTTTCGCCTTCTTCTCTTCAATTGATGTGAAACAGCTCTAGCTCATAGTTCGAGGAGGCCTAACCTCTCATAAGCTCCTATAGTTTCTGTTAGGTCTCCTCGCCACTTCTTTTTTTTTTTTTCTTCTTCTTCTTTTCCTATATTTTTTGTAATTAGTGTGGCAAATAAAATAAAATAAAATAAAATAAAATAAAGAAGGACTGGATTTGTAAAACATGGATTGATAAAACGTGGATTTATAAAACATGAATTCGTAAAACATGGATCGATGGATAAAACCTGTTTTATCAACAGATGTTTTACTAATCCATGTTTTATTAATCTTTTTTTTAAAATTTAATCAATGTTTTATCAATCTTAGTTGCACTAGTCCATGATCCATGTCTGATCGTATGCTTGATGCCGGTAGAGGGTGCAGGACAGGTTATCGTGTCCGGTTACGTTCTTTTGTTTACCTTTCGCTATTTTGTACTATTTGTTATGTAGGAAGTAAGGTCATGGACCATCAAACAATATTATACAGCTGGTATTATATTAACAATGTAGTAAATATCAAAAGAATCTTCTCGTTGTCAACCACAATATATTTACAACCATAATATACAGCGTGCAAAGAAAGTCGACGTGTTCGATAGCCCAGGGCTAGTGGATTTTGCTATCGAGGTATACTTAGTGAATTCTGTTGTTAACTTGCCCGACGGGCAAGTGCAG